AGCCAGCATGGGTGGCTGGGGAATTCTGGGAGTTGGAGTCCGCACATCTTAAAGTCGCTGAGGTTGAGAAACAGTGGTTTAGGATAAGAGGGTTCTATGGGAGAGAGGAACAGTCAAAAGTCAAGAAAATAATCACCCCAAACTTGCGGGACTCTTTGACGGCCTGTCCTCACTTCCTGTTTACATTGATGCCCTGGGAAAAGATGGCGTTGGCCCTTGATCGTGCCCGCCTCACCCAAAATCGGGGGGGGGGAACCATAGCCACCTCATCTTGCATGCAGCGCCTTTAGCGTGGTTGAAAAACTGCAAGGTCAGAGCACGGCATCTCTTGTCTTGCCGAGGGGAGAAACTGAGCAGAAGCCCCTGGGGGGCTCTCTTGTCTGCCCAGAAGCCTGGCTGCTATCCATGCCAGACGGACCACTTTGTTCCTTCCCTGGATAGAAACTCTGGTCAACCTATTTCCACGGGAAGCGGTGAATTATGGTTGCAATCCAGAGCCATGCCAGAGTGTGAATCACCCGAGGAGTCGCCTTCTCTTTCAGCCAAGAAGGAGATGACTGTGTGGGCACCATAACCGCCGCCTTGCATCAGCTGCAAATCTTTCCGAGCGTCTCCCACCGGAGTCATACATTTTGCATGTCCTTAGCAAGTAGCTGGATGCAGGGGGCGGGGGCCCGGGGGGGGCGCCTGGAGCTCAAACAAGCCAGCAAGTGGAAAATGGTGATCATCATCTCCCCAGCCAGAGTCAAGCCAGTGTCAGAGACCGCCAGAGGCTGGGACACGCGGTGCTTGTGGGAAAACCTGCCTCTCGCGTGCACGAAGTTGGCCGTTCCGGGCATTTCCACGAAAAAGGATCCGATCGCAAGGAGAGTTCAGCAACAGGACTGAAAATTCCCCAAGGCACGTTGAGTTCCTCCAATAAACACACCCCGATTTTATGGGATGCCCCAATTCTGCAGCTTCTCTCCTGGGAATGCCAAGCCTTGCAAGACCCTGCTGAGAACCTGGGACCCCCGGGTTGTCTCCCATGAGAACTGGCTGAGCTGGCTAGGGATGATGGGAGTTGAAATCCAAGATGGTGGCTGCCTTTGTACCAGATGCATTACTGCTGAAAGTCCAGATTCAGTCTTCCTCTTCCAATCAAGAGGCTGCGAGGAAGCAAGGCTTGGAAAATTGGGACGTGGTGTGTGGATTCTATCTGGCTGCATTCACACAATGCCTTTACTCCAGTTAACCTGAATGAACGCATTTTCTGGGTTTGTACAGTAACTAACAAGGGGCTGGCCAGGCACAAGACATGGGGTTGCCAAAAACTGGCCAAGGTTGATGCTCACCAAGCTTAGCATGTTGCATGACTGCATCTGCATGAGCGTAACCTGAATATCACCCTTACACCAGGTGGGAGAAGACCAGGGTAACCCATTGCACCCATGGGGGAAAGTCAAAATGGTGGCTGCAAACTGTGCAATTGAAGCCCCGCCCCTTTTTATGTACATCACACGTCAAAGGGGGGGGGGCTTCAATAATATGATTGATACCCTTCGTAGATACCCCTCATTGTATCTCCATTGGCCTTGGCTCTCAAATGGCTCTCTGCTTCAATCCAGCTTCCAAAACGCCTCCGAAAAAGTCCATGTTCTCTTTTCTGGAGCTGAGCTTGGCCACCCATCACCGTCGATTTTTAAAAAGTGACTTTTCCCATTAGAAATGCTGTTAATTTTTTTTTTAAAAAGGTTATATATGAATCACTCTCGGCAAGGAGGAAAAAGGTGATGGGAGGCTTTTCACGAAGATCCGGGAATGGCAAGTCTTCTCTTTGTGTATATTTAAATGACGTCAGAAAATTAAATATAAGATTGCAGCTGATCCTTCAAAAAAGAGGAAGGCCGCAGTAGAAACTTGTGGCTTCACACACCCACCACTGTTTTCACTGTGGCTGCAAGGATAAACGCCAAAATGTATTCCTAAGTACGCATCAGAGTTTGAAGAGGGAAATAAGATTGCTTGCTGAGGGTGGGTGGCTTGGAAGAACGCACTTTAATTTGAACAAAGTGCTTAAGCCCGCCATAGCTTCGAACCCCTGGATTTCTTCCAAGAATAGAACGAAAGAAGGAAAGGCAGGCCGGTGATGAAAACTGAAAAGGGAAAAAATGTGTGTGTGGGTGTGTGTGTCTGTGAAATCCCAAGTGCTAGTAAATGAAAATTTTCTTGAGGTGAATTCCTTGTAAGTTGGTTGGAACCTATTGAAATCACCTTGGCTCTATCCGAGACACATCGGGTCTAAGTAATAAAATGTTCTTTATTACTTTATCAACCTGCCCACAGCGAAGGAGGGCTAAGGAAAATCTTTGGACCTTCTCTCGCCTGCTTGGGGATGGGTGCAAATTGGAGAGGAAGCAGCCCCAGAAAATCCACCACGTATGCTGGCTGTAGCCTGGCAAATCTTTAGCTCTGCGCTACAAACAGGGGCAACCCTTTAAGGCATTTAAGGGCAAAAAAGTCAAGATGGCATCTTGGCGTGTAAAAAAGGGTTTTGCTTGCATGGCTGCCATTTTGACTTTTTTGACCCCTCAGTGGGCAGCCTTGGAGGGGGGGCTTGGTGAGAAGGGGGCCATCCTGCCTGGGAATCTAGAAGTATCCAGAAATTACCATTTATATATACTCCGTGGTCATCCCACAGATATCATTAGTTTGAACACAGGCAGCCATTCTGAAAGATGTCTGAGAAGGATTTACAGAACAAGGCAGAAAATTCTCGTCGAGCCTGAAGAAGGGTGGGAAGAAAGTTTCCTCTCCGTTTTTTCCCCCAAGCCCCTGGGCCTTTTCCGAAGTGTACCTCTGGGTTCGTGAGACCATCACCCCCTGGCAAGTTCCCGAAGGCGAGGCCTACATCAGAGACAAAGCACAATGAAATAAATGAAGGATAAAACAATTTTCACATTAACTGTAATTTATTCTTTAGGCAAGGACAGCCATCTTCTCTGACCTCGGTCTCATAAGCAGAAATATCAGGGCTCTGTCCCCAAAGTGCTTCCATTCCCTTGGGTGGGTTCATGCATCACCTTTAATCCAGTTAAGGATCCAACGGTTGCATTCACACAATCGGCTGTGCTTGGTTAGATTAAGCCTTGGTTGCAGTTGTTTTTGGCTTAGCTGCTGTATGAACTTGGCTCCTTTGGATGGTATTGGACAAACACAGAAAATGGGTTAATTCGGCCACCAGGTTCAGCGTCACGCATGAACGCAACCAGTTGGGGAAGCCCTCAGAGATATGGGCCTTCTCGTTCATCCACGTTATCCCCCGCCGGGTCCCCCTCGTAATCCTCCATGTCAGACAAGGGCTGCCCATGGCTTCCTGGGATGTGCTCCAAAACAGTGCTGCGCACGGTGGTGCGTATGCTGCTGGGCGAGCGCTTGTGGGAGCCCAGTTTCTGGAAGCGTCTGTGGCACATCACGTCCTTAAACATCTCGCGGAAGCGGGTGGACATCAGGTTGTAGAGGATGGGGTTGGCGGCAGAGCTCAGGTAGAAGAAGACCCCTGAGATGATGTGGATGTACTGGAACGTGTGTTGCATGTGGTCTGTCCAGTGAGTGACAAAGCTCCAGACGAGCCGGTCGGTGTGGAAGGGCGCCCAGCAGATGCCAAACACGACCACGAGCACGACTGGAGGCAAGGACAGGAAAGCAAAGTTATCGACGGGGGTCCTGCGGGCTGAGTGGCTAACTGGGAAGAAGATCCTCCAGCCCTGGAAGGGATGGAGAAACTAGGCAAGATCCAGACTCGCATGGAGACCGTGGAAAAAGAGAACGTTCTCTCCCTCACGTTGTAAAACTAAGGCGAGATGGAGCGGTGTAGTAGTGAAGGCGTGGGCTAGGAACAGGGAGACCCAAGTTCTTGTCCTCCCTCAGCCACGGAAACTGTCTGTGGGACTCTGCACCGCTCACCCGGTCTCAGTCCAACCTCCTTCACAGGACTATCGTTAGGGGGGAAATAGTAAGGAGTGCGATATGCGCCATCTTGAAGTCCTGAGCAAAAAAGTGGGCTACAAGTCTAAAAAATATATATTTACATAAAGACGCCCTCAAGTTAAGTTCCAACCCTGGTGCTTCATGGCCCCATCCCTACAGTTTCCCTGGCAACAAGGCGGAAGTGGTTTCCCCCCGTCTTGGTCCTTCCTCACATACTGTACGTTATGGCCTGCCAGTACGTGGAAATGGAGTTGGCTTTGTGACTTTTCCACCCTTGCCCTGTGTATCTATAGGGAAAGGCAAAGTGGGGTACGTGACATCATTGGGTCTCCTGACATCGCCATGTACGTGTCATTCAGAGGTCATCATGGCTACTATTGGATGCCTGGGGGGGGGGGGTCTCTGGCCATCTGCTGCTACAGACGCACAGATGAACGTAAACCGGGGCAGAACTTTGATTGCGTGATCATGGCCTTCATCTTGAAGCTTGGACACTCCTCCCCGTAGACATCACTGGTGGGGAGCAAAATGAAAGTTGTGGGAGGCCAGTGTATCTTCTGGTCTTTTGAAGAACCTGGGGTCTCTCCAACTTCCTACTGCCTCACGCACTTGGTTGTCGTGTGGAGAACACAACACTCTTAAAGAGACCTTTGAAGTAGAAGCCTCCAGTTCTCTTGGAAATCTCTGGGGCTTGAAGAACCTCTTTTCTCTATCTGCAAAACTCATCACTTCTCCTGCTCCCACAGTTTGGCTCCCGCTAAAAAATAAATTGAGCCCAGCGGCTCCGTCCTGCAACACACTTGCTCAGGTCAGTTAACATCTGCACTTGCACACCCAGCAACTTCGGTTCACGTTAACCTTGGACTGTTTTCTTCGGTGTGGCCCTCTGTGTGTTGTGCAAATCCAACTTGTTTGTTGGTTTCTGCCTCCCTTCGTTGGGCAAACTCAGAAAATGGGTTACGGTATAATTAAATTACCAGGTTACACTTATTGTATAAGCATGACGTAGGCTGTGAAAAGGCCAAGACATTTTGCGGTATGGTGTTTACAGGTTTCCTAACAGAAACGTGCCTCTAATCTTCTGCCTGATTGTAATTTTTCATTTCATCACTTTTTCTTCCCTCCTGCAGAGGAGAAAAGAATTTGTATGGGCCAATCATGCTTCAAGCGGTGAGCTGCTCTAGAAACGCACTTGCCGGGTTCTTCAAACCAACCGCTTTGCTCTCCTGCTGGAACCAGCTTGTGTGTTTCTGCAGCAGCAACAGGCTGTGCACAGAGCTGATTGGTCAGCCCTTGTGAGGACCTCACAGCCCCACTTTCTCTCTTCCCCCCTTTCCAATTTGTATATTATTTTCATTTTGCTTTTTCAAAGGTGAAAAGTGAACACGGGATCTTATGAACATCCATATTCTGCTTTTGGAAAAACATGAATCGTGATGAGGAGCGGACAACTAAGTCAATTGAGAGCTTCTGGCATGTGCGCTAAAAATCACCCTGGGTGCTTTGTTAAATGTTGCATTTGTGTATAAGCTGAGTTTTTGAAAGAGTCCTTTCTCAGTTTAGGATTGGCAAAGCTTTATTTTAATTAAATGGCAGAACCGCTTTTCAAAAAGTGCTTTGGGAGGATCACACCGAATTGAGATGGGCAATGCTTCTTTTAGCTTATTCTATACCACGTGTGTGTTTTTGAGAAGTTCCTCTGTGCTATAGAAATGATCCTCCAAAAAATGCCAGCAGCTTTTAACCTTCAGTCATTAAGATTCTGCAGCTGGTTTGCCTCAAATCTAACAACTTGCTATTTTCAACCATCTCCAAACCTGCCATAAGAGGTGTTCCTCATGTTGTTGCTCGATGTTGAACTCATATTTCTTTTATTACACATATTTGTATGCTGCCACAATCAGAACGGACTCTTAGTGGCTCATTTAGAAAGTACAGTGTAAAACAAACCCCGTATAAATATTAAAAATACAACACTATAAAAATAGAAAGCGAATAAGTATTTTGCATGCATTTGCATGCATTTGCATGAAATAATACTTACTGCAATGAAGGTGAGCTCTGAAGCTTTGCAGCAAAACACTAATTGGTTGTTCCTAGCACCCAGGGCTAATTGGTTGTCCCCTCTGAGATTGTACTCATCACTCCCTTCCTTTTCATGGCTGGCTGAGCTTTTATTCTGCTCAGAACCAAGCAGGGTTATCAGTGTACTTTGGAATTTGAATAGGCATGTTAGAAGATTCATGGATAAAACACTAGAGAGAACATAATATTCAAGTTCATCTAATCCTTTCTTCAGAGGCGTCAGTGAATAAATAAAAGCCGATGGGAATGAAAGGAGGCACCGGAGTTCAAAATTCATATCCAAAAGGGGCCTTGGGGAGGGATGAAGATGAGAATATGCTTCGTTATCAAACAGAAAGGCCTCCTGCAGCCTATATCAGCCAGATTCCTCTTTCCTTAGAATGATTCCCCCATCACAGACTGGACAAGAGCGTGTTGTTAACAGCAGGTACCGTCTCTTTGGCCCTGATTTTGATTTGCAAAATTAATTTCTCTTCCATTCATGTACTAATAAGAGCTGGGATCCATTGCACTGAACTTTAAGGAGTGTCTGCCTATGAATAAAATTTGATCCTCCAATGTGCTTTGGGCCAGGAAGTTAGATCTCTCTTAAAGTTTCCTTTTTCATCCACCAATCTTTCTGGACTAATTAACAGCAGCAAAAGCTTCATTAAATCTCAATGCAACAAGCACATTTCTGCCTACGCAATTCTTCAATCTGAACATCCTGATTACAGTAATCAATGTACAGTTTTTTTATCCAACTAATTCTGGAGGTTTAGAGTGAGCAATAATGCATCAATTTTTTTTACCTTTTTGGCTAAGGAGACCCACGCATATGAGATGTTTGGTTATGATCCAGTTGTTGGATCAGGAATTTCTAGCGTAAGTAGCATCCAGGCCCATATCAAAGCACAATCGAGATATTAAGGATTGGAAAGGGAAAAAAGCATGAGGAACTGTTGAAGGTGTGGCTATGCAGAAGGGAAGCATGTGGGGAGAAATGTCTTCAAGCATCTTCACTACGGAGAAGAAGCCGTAGTGGTGGATTTCTGCACTGGGAAGAGGGTTGAACAAGATGATCACCAGTTCACTTCAACCTGTACATGATTGTACAAGAGGAGACTGCAGGGAGACGTGATCGTCTCCAAGAATCTGAAGAGGCAGCAGAATTGTTCAGAGTAGCTCCAGAAGGCAGGGCAATAAACAAGGGGTTTAAATGACAAGGGAGGAGATTTTGGTTAGACAGAAGGAAAAAAAACCCCCTTCTGGTTAAAAACTATCCAACCAAATACCATTAATCTTAATGTTACTGTGTAGTATTGCATGAAGACAGGACCTTGTGAGTTTTTCAGTGGTTTTACCCACAGCTCTTGTGCGATCTCATGCAAGGATGCCCTGTTTTTGTGTATTAACGGTGAAATTGCATGAGAAGTTGGCCATTCTTCTTTTAAGAAAATTGATGGTGACATTTCACCTTTTCTCCAGGGGCTCAGAGCAGCTTACCTGGGGATCTCCCTTCACAACTACCTCACAACAACCCACGGAGGTAGACAAGGTTAAGTCGGGCCCAACATCATCCATTGCATTTTTCTGGTTGAGGTGGCCTCAAACCTGGTCTTCCCCAGTCCTAGTCAAAAGCTTCAACTATTACTTCTCATTGGCATCCTAAATTCCACTTGCCAAATTGAAGAAATGCAATTTCATTTGGGAAGAGGCTGTGTGCATCATTCTGGGACGCAACAGACCCTTCCAACCAACACTGCATTGGGTCCCCCCCGCCCCCGTCCTGAGGATGCCTTGAACTTCTTTAATGTCCTCAGTGATTCAGCATCAGTCATTCTGTGCCCAATCTCTGCTCCTGAATTTTGGGGTCTCATTGATCATTCCAGGATTGTTCCACTGCATTCATCTTTTAAAAAATGAAATAGCCAGTGTGCAAAAATTCAAATGCCTGCAAAAATTCAAATGCCTGCAAAAATTCAGATGCCTGCAAAAATTCAAATGTTATATTCTGAACAATCTATAAAGGAGCGTCCAGACAAAAGGGCCAAAATGGAATTGAGAGGTGGGTGCAGTGTTCAAGAAAGGACCATGGTGGGCCTGAGATAAGAGACTTTATGAAGTGCTGGTCTATATAAAAATAAAGGACAAACCTGTGCAAACTGACACTTGTCTGTGAAATCCAATTGTTTGCACTTAAAAATTCAGGAGAGGAAACAGAGTTGGGTTGGTGATGGGATGAAACGTGCACCTTCAAAGCTGCTCTCATGAATTTTCCAGGGCAAAGTTTGAGGCATACGTTCTCCTATGTCAACATGGGGAAGTAAGTCAATGGTGATTTTGGTAATCTTGTTCCAGGGATGCTTGGGGAAAACCTCACCGGGAGAGTAGAATCATGGAAACATAGAGTTGGAAGAGATTATAGAGACCAACTCCCTGCTTAGGGCAGATCTGCTAGAGACTCTGATAACCAACCATTCAGCTTCTGTTTGAAGATCTCCAGAGGAGGACTCACCATTCATGTGGCAACCTGTTCTGCTACCTATCAGCTCATACCATCAGAACGTTCCTCCTAGCATCTAACCTCAATCTCCTTCCTTCTAGTTTTAATCTTTTGGTTCTGGTCTTGCCCTCTGAGGCAACAGAGAAGTCTACTTCTTCTTCTGTGAGATAACCTTGCCATATTTACTACCTGTTTGGCATAGCATTTCATTTGGGACAAACATCACCGTCACTGGAAAGGCCCTTCTGCAGCCTTCCTTCCAATGACATGACTAGCTTTACCCCCTGTATAAAACCAAGGTTTATTGCAACCACAGTTTGTAGAACAAACCACAGGGAGTGGGCTTATATTTAATGCTAAGCCATAAACCTTTGGGCGACCTTTTTTTCTACAGAGGATCAATTCCCTCCAAAGTAATCTCTTGTGCATCCCTAGAACGCACAAGAGAAGGCAATGTTGGAAACAGTGAGAGAGGAGAGACCCGCTGCCCCACAGATCCCTTTCTCTTGCTGACCTCCTGCAAAAAAGCCTTGGGACCAAGAATGAAGGTCCACCCGAAATGAGGCCCTAAAGGGCCCACCTCTCTCATAAACTCCAGTTTGCTAAGTGTGATGGCTGGGTTCCTGCATCATATATGATGGCTTAGTGCGATGCAGGGACAGTCCAAATGTTTGCAGTCTGAGGCCACTTCTCATTCCAGGGATACAAACCAGCTGGATTAGCAGCTGAATCTTTCTTCAACTCTACAAGACCTTCCACCAAACTGAAGACATGATACACAGCTTTTCAGTCCAACCTCAAGAGGGCACATACAAAGGGGTGTGGCTTTGAACACACTGATGCACTTGCCATGTCACCCTTTTGGATATCCCTGGCCACCTCCTTCTACTTAATGGCAAGTCTGGCTTTACAGTATGTAACCCTGCTGCAACTTCACCTCTTAGGAAGCTCACTGAGATGCCAAATCCAGATCCCAGATTCTTGGGGCCTTCCCCCTCAACTTACACAACATATTGGTCACCTGCCTCCTCCGAGCCTTCTTCTGCTGGAAACGGACGTTGTGGTAGTCGCACCGGCTTCCCGATTTGGCCTCCAAAGCCTCCAGCAGCTTCTCCTTCCGCAGCTGCAGGCCAATGAGGAGATAGAGGATGCTGATGACAGCCATGGGGATGAAGAAGAAGATGATGGTGGTGATTTGAATGAGGAGGTTGTAGATCAAGGGGGACTTCACCAGAGTGCAGGTGTCTGAGTCAGGAACTACGCCCCATCCTGGCACGTAGAGAGTCTGTATGCCATGCAAGCTGGTGTTAGGGATGGAACAGAGAATGGAGAGAACCCAGACCATGATAATCACCTTCTGGGCATGGTTCTTGGTCACTACGTACTTCGCCTTGAGCGGGTGGACCACAGCAATGTAGCGTTCCACGCTGAGGGCTGTCACGTTGAGGATGGAGGCAAAGCAGACGGCCTCAAAGAGCAGGGTTTTAAAGCAGCACCCACCAGCCCCCAAGAGAAAGGGGTAGTTGCTCCACATCTCATAAATCTCCAGCGGCATGCCCAGCAGGAGCACCAGGAGATCAGAGATGGCCAAGCTGAAAAGGTAATAATTGGTGGGCGTTCTCATGAAGCGGTGCTGGATGATGACCAGGCACGTCATGGTGTTCCCCACGGCCCCCACCACAAAAATCAGCAGGTAGGTGGTGCAGATCGGAACGAAAAAGCCTGACCGGCGGGGCCCCAGGTATCTGATGCGCAGTTCCTCTGCCGTCATGTTCAGGACCTCAGGGTTGAAGGAACTCAGTTTCCCTTCCAGCGTGCTGCCGTTGCACAAGTCTCCATAAGCCCCCGGGTCCAGCAGCTCCATGGCGGAGACCTGGAACTCCAGCTTAGAACAGTTGTCAGACGGGAACGTGGCTTCAGGCTGGAACAAGAGAAGAGCAGTCAGCAGACCGCGTGGCCACATCCGAAGGCCAGTTTGGGAGTTCTGGTCAGCCCTGCACCCTAAAAGACATTGTAACATTCCCCAAGTCCCTCCCAGACCTGGCCACGTTATCAGCGGCCCGGGGAGACTTTGCAATGGCTCCCTTAATGCGGTTAATATTGTCCTCTCTCGCTTTGTGTGCTTTTCATAATTTTATAGTCTTTCATGATAACTGTTCTATATGTACGTATTGGTTTTTTCTTATTAAGCGTTGTACGCTGCCCAGAGTCACCTCCTTGGGAGATGGGCAGCTATACAAATGTGATAAATAAATAAATAAATAAATAAATAAATAAATCATAAAGCCATTATTAAGGAAATATTAAACATTGAAACTAGATTGGAACATTCCAAAGCTGGATAAAGAAACACCGAAGGTATCTGAATGTTCCAAAGTTTTACTTGGAAATAAAGAGGGAGCTGACCCAATTTCAGGGGTAATTTATTCCATAATAATGCCCCCCACCCTGTGGAAAAAACTGAATGACTCCTTGATCTTAGATGTCATTTGGTGGGGTCCATAAAAGGTGGCCTACTTTGGACTGAAGAGCAGAGAGGTCCACAGAGCATAGTCAAAAAAGTCAAAATGGCAGCTGCAACGGTGCCCCAGGCGGAGCTTTGAACACACCATCACAGGTGCCATCTTGACTTTTTTTACCACGTTCCTGTGGACATCCCTGCTGTACGGAGACTCTGGTTGTGCAAGTTGGTTTGCCCTGGGATGTCTTCCTGTGCTTCTCAGATTGCAATCTGTGCCTGTTTTTTTCCTTCCTGCCTTCACCATTCATTTGACTGACATCCAGATTCAGTTCTCATGCTGGTTCTCCATCTCCTGTTCTAGGCAGACTGTCTGCCCCTGTCTTTAACCCATTCCACTAATTCACTTATGGAATTACATTTCTTTGCAAATGCACTGATTTTTTTTTCAAACTGGAAGGTGGGTTGATGACACTGTAGCTGTCTTCTCCTAGCACACTTAACTAAAGAAGTCCCTTAGGTTCATGAGCCTTTCCCACCTATGTCTGGTTAAGTCTTGGTCTCTATTCTGAGGCTGCATATACACAACACACTTGACTGGGTTATAGCACTAACAACTTTTTCTGGTTTACACAAATCATTAAAGCACAAACTTCCTGTTCCGAGAAAGGTTGCCACTGGTCCACCAGATGTAGGAGGCCACAGGGCCTCCTGGCCACAGCTTCCATCTGCTCCTTCTGTAGGAGCTCATAGTCTAGGCCAGTGTTTCTCAACCTTGGCAACTTTAAGATGGGTGGACTTCAACTCCCAGAATTAGCTCATAGTCTAGGCCAGTGTTTCTCAACCTTGGCAACTTTAAGATGGGTGGACTTCAACTCCCAGAATTAGCTCATAGTCTAGGCCAGTGTTTCTCAACCTTGGCAACTTTAAGATGGGTGGACTTCAACTCCCAGAATTCCCAGCCACCCAGATGGACATATAGGCTGTATTCACATGTCACACCACAGCACAGGAGATCACCTGAAATTTCCAGGGCCATAGCTAGACTGGGAAGTCTGGAAAACATCACAGAAAGCCATGGCAAAGCCCATCTGGACTGCGATGAAGACAACTGCACCCAGGAGTCATCTTCAACTCAAGAAAATGCCACTTTCTTGAAGAAGCCACCTAACATAGGCAAGAACCAGAGAAAGCTGCTGAAATTGATTGCCCTGAGAGGTCAAGAGAAGGATGATAGGTAAGCATGTCTCCATTGTGGTGGTCTAAATGTCCAGGATAGTCCCTTTTTTCTCTTTCCCCACAACTCCATCAGAAGAAAGAAGTCCATAACCTTTGGATGACTGGTGCGGAGCCAAAATGGAGACCCATCAGGGTGGATGGACTTCATCTCATGTAGTTGATGGCCCTCTGGAAGGTGTGTAATCTCTCCCAGCAGTGACCTTCAGCTCCCCTTCCATCCCTGCCCAGGTTATGGTTATGGATTATGTAGTACTTTCCTGCTGCCACTATGACCAATAAACAGGAAGACTTTGACTGCACAGTTGTGGCCATCATCTCAACCTTTTTAACCTCTTTGCAGAGGGCCCCGTCGCAGAAGACCTTTGCATCCAGTCCCTCGCATCCAACGTCACTCCCATTAGGAGGAGCAGCAGCAATAGGAGTAAATCCTTCATAAAATTTACCAGATTCTGTCTTGATTGGACGTCTACCTCTACAGCAATAGCCAATTTCTCGTAATGCTCACATTATGGAGAACAAGCCCCCAGTTTTGCAAGGCCAAAGAACAAACATTTAGGGAAGAAATTCAACCCCTGTGCAATACTTGCTTTCTTTTCAAATTTAACAGAGCAATACTGAAGAGCTCAAAATGACTTGTGTTATAATTTCTTTCGCACAGAAAATGGCATTACTTGCTATTTTCATGACGTTAAAAAGTGGACATGGAGCTATTTTGACTAAAAAACTAATCCCTGTTGATGGAGATGGAAACACAGTCTGCTGCTTGTTAAAGGAATACACACAGCGCTTGATGTTGGCCAGTTGGGAAATTAGGGGGGATCAGAAAATAAAGTTGAAAGTAGAGTAAACACAGTTTTATTATCTGGCCTTACCTAATCCTTCTGCAGAAGCTGGAAATTCATGATTTCAGACAAAAAGCACAGAAAAGAAATAGGTCCATAATCGCAATATGATGCAATTTAGGTACAATAAATGTAGGTGATCTGTTAACATTTGCAATGAAACTCAACTGTGTGGCCTTAATTGCAATGGCAGAACCCAACTAGGTTCTAGCACCTCGTGAACAATTGTCCACCACTTTCCATTTCTTTGAACCTCTATTTCTCCTCAAATTAAGAACATAAGAAGCAGGAACATCCATGAGGGGGAGGTCAAAAAAGTTAAGATGGTGACCATGACCATACAATCGAAACCCCGACTCTTTCAGGGAAGTAAAACAAAAACAAAAAAAACCCAAGATGGTGATCACAATGGCAGGATCAAAGCCCCACCCTGCATGTAAAAAGGGGTGGGGCTTTGATCCTATGGCCATGGTCACCATCTTGATTTTTTTTAAACAGCACCACCATCCTGTGGACATCCCTAGTAAGGCCCATCCTATCCAACCTCTTGTTTCTCAACCTTGGCCAACTAGAGGTTTTTGGGTGGTGGCCAGCAGGAGGTGAAGCTCTGTTCTTCCCCCCACATTGTTCCTCCTCAACTGGCACTTGGAAACCTGTTACCCCCAACCCAATTCCATCAGGACCACTGAAATGGGAGAAAGGTTATGCTTCTGAATTTCTTGGGAAATTCCACCAGACCTCTGGTGGAAAATGCCATCTGATCACAAGACGGTTGCTTAGTCATCCAGCAGTTCAAGGCTATTAGTTAGCTGGCTAGTTCTTTAGTTAGATGCCATTAGGTTGGGATTGTGTGGCGATGGCTTTGTAGGCAAATGCCCTTCATTTCCACTGTCCTGACAATAATTCCCAGCTCTTTCCAGGACATTCCAGGGATCTCCTTGTTCTGTGGATCCATTGTCTTTCTCTTATTTCCCTCAACTTTGTCAAGCATAGCGGTTTGAGATAATGACCAAGTGTGATTAACCAAAACCAGTGTGGGTTAATCTACTACTTTTTCCAAATATTTTAACAGTTAGAAAATATCCCACTGACTGATAAAAAAATAAGAAGCCCTCTTCCAGGGACTTTAATTCTGCCCAGAGGTTCCAACTCTGTGTGTGTGTGGGTGTGTGCATGGCACCTTTTAATATTTTTCATAAGAGACGGGGAGTAGAAGCAATAGTAGCTGGAGATGGCGTGGTAGTAGATCTGATCAGTGACTTGCCCATAACTTCAAAGAGTGGATCCTCTGCCGGAGATATTTTTTAAGCGAGACAGCAGAGAACATCTAGAGATGGTCTGATGACATCGCTGGTCAACCCTGGAGAAGCCCAAATGAGCCTTTGCGGAGAATATTTGTCTGGAAACCCTGTTTCTTCTGTGCAGCCACTGGTCCCCTTCCTTTCTGCAGGTGTTAGGGCAGGGGGCTCATGCTCTCCTCTTCATCTTACTTGTACAAGTAGGAGAACAGATAAAGCGTTTGCAGGTGAGAGTAAGTTACAATACAGTGGTGCAATCCGGAAGGCTTGGTAAATATTTTTTTCTAAGCACACATGTGGAAGAATTGTTAAGTGGCACGCATGTTGCCTCCGCTGGCTCCATAACCCTTTCCACACAGGTGTTTCTTACACCTGCAAGAAGAAAAGGAAGTCCCCCCACCACTAGCTCCTTGCCAATCTTCTGCAGCGCCAATGAGCCACCAAACATTACTGAGTCTTCAAGGCCCAGTCGCTCTTTGCTCTCCTTCCAAGCCACCCATTCATGTTACCTAATTAGGATTGCATTCATTCAAATCCTCCACAATTTTTCCCTCAAGTCACACCTGTCTTTTCCATGATCATCATTCACTTAACGTGCTACGGTCAGCAACTTAGGGAGTCCTACTTTTGGTGCATTTGCAGCGTGCTTATTCAGGATGGATCGGGCTAAACCATGGCTTGTTTAAGAATAGTTTGTTGAATAAGCTGCTACGGGCAGAATTTATAGAACCACATAATGTACAAGCTAATGACACAATGGCTTAGTATGCTGGCAGGTCTTATCACCAGGGAACACCCCCGTTGCAGCCTAAATGGAAACATCCATGTTACCCCTTGACTTCAGAGATGACTAAAACTGGCTTGAGATGCTACATTTAACTGAGATCAAATGGGCAGGGAAGAGAAATAGGGTCCCCTTGGTACGGCATCAACATCATTAAATTCTCTTCCAATGGAAATTTGTTAGATTCCCTTCATCTACATCAGTGTTTCTCAACCTTAGCATCTTTAAGATGCGTGGACTTTAACTCCCAGAATTCCCAGCCAGCATGATGTCCACATATGCTGGCTTCCAGGACTACAAAGAGCTCTTTTGCAAACAACAGACCGCTATGTTGCTTGGAGGGGGGATGTATAAAAAAAAACCTGAATTTTTGCACCTGACCTGCTCCTGAACACCCTGTTTGCTTGGCCCATATGTCTCATGGTAAGAGGGCCAAATGAAGATGTTTTTCTGCCCCAAATCCCAGGGCACCAGCGGGAAAATTCAACTGTGTGTAGATTTTCCCAAACTGCAGTCCTCTTTAAACATCACTATTCCAAAGGACCTGTTTAAACTGGCTGACAGCTTCATCCATCCAAGTCCTGCCCAGGCTCCCCTGTTTGTTGTTGACGGCCAAATTCCTGTCTCTCCTAATGACAATTTAGCATTAATCTGAATTGTAGGTAGCAGAGGTACCTACATACAGGTACGTATGTGTTTTTCTATACCCATTCTTCCAGTTTGCTGTCAGCGAGCAGATCACTCGATGTTTGGAAAACCACTGTTTTAATTTGTCTTTTGGCATGAGTTCTTTGCAAGTCTGAACCTCATTCCTTCCATGGTCCGAACCACGAGGCCTGCTCTAATTGTGCAAGAGCTGGACTGCGCGGAACGGAAAGTGTGTACAAGGAAGGAAAGGACCAGCATTGCAGCTACGGACAATGTGCCTACTCAGCCACCTCCCCCTGCTAATGTATCACCCGCTGGCTCTTCCAGGTTCTTAACTTCAACTACCACATCAAGCTCCTCTCCTCTTCAGACAGCATAAAGGCGCCAGAGCCGTGAGCATTGCAATCCAAACCCTTGGGAGAACATATCTCCACCTGGACAGGAGCCCATAAAGTAGTGTTTCTCAAACTAGCAACCTTAAGATGTTGGGACTTCAACTTCTAGAATTCCCTAGTCAAGCTGTATGGACTTCAACTCCCAGAATTCCCCAGCCAGCATGCGTGGACTTCAATTCCCAGAATTCCCCAGCCAGCATGCGTGGACTTCAACTTCCAGAATTCTGGCTGGCTGGGGAATTCCGGGAGTTGAAGTCCACACATCTTAAAGTTGCTGAGATCGAGAAACGCCACCATCAAGGATGAAGCTGTTGAGCAAGTCCTGCAGGTGCCATGTCCCAGAGGGCAGTGAAGGTGGATGGGCATCTTCCACAGCTGCCTCTGAGAGGGCAGAACGAGCTCAGGAGGTGGTGGTCTCAAAGCAGTTGAGCGACCTGGAAGGCAGCGCCCTCGGAGACACGCTTCCCTTGCACCCCAGAAACTAAGCATGAGTTCAATGCACAGAGACGTTCTTCCTTCAGAAGCACACGGGTGCTCTACCACACTGATCCTGGGCTGGAGAAATGATCTCAGGGAGCCAAAATGTGGCCCCAAATGACCTTCATTTATATAAATAAAAAGGGAATCAACTGAAGGCATCACTTGTTTGTATCTCTTTAAGAAGCAATTTACTTATCTCTTTAGACATATCTTTCCGGTACCTATCAGAAATCACGACCCTTCAATCATGTACTTTCTTGCAAACTGTTCTGGCCAAAAATCTTGACTTTTATCGACATCCCCTGTGGACGCTTCTTTGTGGGGAAGGATAGTGAGGCAGGTCAGAGGTTTTCAGAGTTGTGAGGAGTCAGTCTGTTGCTGTACGGGTCTCCCAGGGAGTAACTGGACTATATCGGGGCAATGTACTGTCTCACCAAAATCCTACAAATCAAAATCCAGGCTTGGACAAATCATTTGGTTACCAGCTTGACC